ACGACACTGGCTAACACGCCAATCACCCCCCACCCCAATGAAAAATATTTTTCTACGCCACTGTTTACTACTATATTATTAGTTGTCTTATTGAAAGGTAATCTACCTTTTTTAACCATACATTTATTGTGGGTAATAGCCCCACTTTCCAATGTGGCGCAACGCTCGTTCTTCACTACTTAGCCAAGCAAACCTTACCAATTAATACCATTAATAATATAACCAAGCTAGACTACTACAGAAAAACGTCGTTCTATATTGCCACACTACCACATTGTGAGAATCATAATTTGCCGATATATGGGTATGCATCTTGTTTATACCATTACACATTGGCAACCAGAAATATATAACCAGGTCGTAGGAAGTATTGGTGCACTTTTCAACAATCATTTTTACTTTACAACTTACATCTCTACCGCAGCGGATGCTTCGGTATTTATAAGATTGCACGTAAATTACGGTCATCAAGATATCATAAATAATGTTGACACATTCATTCATAGTCTTCCGCCGTAGCTGGTTCAATGGCGCCGTTCAGCAAGTTCGTCAACTTCTAATTTTCAAGCACATTCACAATAGAAACTGGCATTTTGTGAGGAACACAAAACCAAGGGAACATGATAACCTTTAATTGTTCAAAATCTTTATTGAACCTGGTGCTCTTCTTAATCTTAAATTTAAAAATAATAACTTGTCTGATACCAGACCATTCGCGCAATGTGCTCTATAGACTCAAAATCTACGGTGCAAAGTGTTTTACAACTTGCTCTTTTTGCCTGCTGAAACTTACTTCTAAATTGCAAAAACACACAACTGTATCAAAAAGCACTCAAAGATCCAACACCACAAAAAAATTCATAATAGGCCTAAAACCTTTATTTCATGTGGAAATATAGGCCTACGTTGGGTTTTTACAAATTTTTGTTTACGCCTCACTCTCATCAGCTCTATCTGACATTTTTGGAAGTAGTGCACCATGAACATCTAACTTGAATTGGTACCAATAAATACCGGTACTCAACTAAAACGACGAACAGTTTGAGAACAGAGACATTTTGAGAGTTTTCAATTTATTTTGGAGTTACTGTATTTTCATATTTAAAACCTCAAGTTTTGGAAAATATGTACCTGGTTTCTATTTGCAGACTGTGGTCCAGGCAAACAATGTAATATTAATATCTCATGCCCCTGTCTTCAGATAGTGAGAGCTCATAGCTGTAATGTAACTTTGCACAAAACAACGGTCCTCACCATATTACATGTCTTTATAACATGAGGATCACCAGAGGTTGTCATAGTGACATATATTCTTTTGTCTTTGTATGATTCTCAATCTCTTATGTACTTTCTGTTTTCAGTAGTGGACTAAATTTTGAGTTTTCAGTTTCTTCTTTTTTAATCGTTCTTCTTTAACATTGTAAAACATATTTATTTGTTTTTATTTCTTTCCCAATATTTTAATTTCATCATTTATCCGCACGTCAACACAAAAGCATCAGTCTCTTTATATCCTAATAAAAATTTAAGACTGAAACTCTGATGAAACAATTTTATGGTTACAAGGTATAAAATTGGAGTTGCCGTGGAGCTGGTTCTTAGGGGAATATTTTTCGGTAGTAGAATTTCATTTTATTCTTATTATTAATTTGAGCCAGTATACGCAAACAAGATGTATAAACTCCGAACACAGAATGATATTGAATCCGTATCAAAGTAATGTATAAGATAAATAATTCTGTCACGATCGATATACCGTACTTTTTAAGTTGATGACCTTTCAGGACATGCGAGG